TCCCCCCTGCTGCTGTGGGATGGGGAGAGGGGCTCCATGTGAGGCTGCCCAGACCCAGAGGGGGACTCTTCCCCCCACTCCTCCCCTTTGGATTCCTTTTGGAAGTACTAAATGACAGCACAGTAACAGCCCATACTGCACCATGCCAGCAGTGCATGGTTATTTTTAGCTGCTATGTCACTGTAGCAACGCTTTATACTGAGGAAGCGTGTTGCTATGGCGACATAGCTGCAGCATCACAGTTTGTGACTGCTGAAACTACATCACTGTATTGCGTTGCCACGGCAATGTAGCATCATGTGTAGATGCACCCACAGTGTGTATAAGCTATGTCTATACCATTCTTGTTCCCAACCTGCCTCAAGAAGGACTTCCTGAGCAGATTCTGCCCACTCACTCTGATTACCATGGTTAAGTTGCTCCAGGGCATCTGTAGAGGCTGCTTGCAAGTAAGCTGAAGGCCAAAATCCTGCCAATGGCTACAGGGGGATGTCCCAAAGCAGCTTCACCACTGCATTTCTAGATTTGTCACAGACAGTCAACAGATGGGCAAGGCATGATCAGAAGCATCCTTCCTAGGACACAATGGGGAATCAGTGTGGAGAGACCCATAATGTACCCCAAAACTTGCCAAACTTCTACAAATAGGGATATAACTATAATACAAAACAGATAATATCCATATAAAGAAATATATTCTGAAATAAGCTCTCTCTGCCAAATTCATTTATGACATAGAAACACAAAAAAACATAGGGACAGTTCTTGCCATCTGTAGCAAAACTTATACCACAAAGTAAGATGGTCACACTTTCTGAATCTCTTTATTTATTGAAAGCAAGGTACTGCCCTTGTTCATATTATTCATACACGTTCTTGTTAGTTAACAAAACTATTCATATAAATGAAATGAACAGGCTATACCCCTTAAAATATTATTTTAAGATTAATTAATGCCAGAAGCTTCTATTGAAATCATTTTTGGAAGACGGGAAAATAAACTCAAACAATCTCAATAACGGTATTCCAAGAGAAAACTATGAAAAAATTGATTACAAAATTAAATCAAAGCTGAACAACTGCATTCTAAGCTAATAAGTCAATTAAATTAAAATGGAAGAAAATTACCTCCTTAAAGCTAGAACATGAAAAGTATATTGTACATTAATGTATGCTGCAACCATTTGAATAATGCTTAGAAATGCAAACAGAAACGTGTTGTTTCTCGCCAGTATAACTTAAGGGAAAGAAACGCTAATTATGCCACTTAGATGTGGGAGAGGCAAGATAATAAAATGTGTCATGACTTAATGATCCTTCAATGTAAATAGGTAATGATTTTACCTTAAACAATTAAAGTTAACAATTATTTTCTGTAATACAAAAAAGGTCAAGAAAGGGACTTGACTACTTACAGATGTTAAAAAAAGCACTTTAAACTCAGCGCACTCCCACACCGAGCCCAGCACATTAGGGCTGTGCAAAATTTCACCAGCTGTTTCATTTTGACACTGTTTCGACTTGTTTCAAGCTCAAAACAATGAAATCAAAACAAAACAAACGGCGTTGAAACGGCCTTGAAACAAAACGAGGACAGTCAAAACATTTCGAAAGTTTTGAATCATTTCGAGTTTCAAAGATAAAGCTGGGCTTGCCTGCAGGGAAACAGAAAGTAAGGAAAGGGGGGGCAAGATGGGGGAAGGACTCCTGTGATATTGACTGTGGCTGTTTGGCTGCCCGAGATGCTGCTGGTGCTACTGTGCTGCTTACTAAGTTATTACCTGTTGTCATTTAAAGTGGTGGACCAAGCTGAGGCTGTAGGGGAGGAGGAGACCTCATTGGGGCACACTACTGTGTTGTGTAGAGGCCCCAGCACCAGTGAGGGTGCGCCTTGACACATACACAACACACACATAGTCACAAGTTTTGCTTGTCAGCAGCTTGAGGTGCAGTTTCCCAGAAACCCCTGCACCTATCTCCTTGAAACTGGGCCACTGCACAGCCAAGCATGCACAGACAGGGAGCCAAAGGAAGAGCTAGTAAGGGGGTGCCTGCCTCTGTAGCCTTGAAAATACACCACTCCTTGAGAGTAGAGAGTTCTGGATTCCAACCTCTGTTGCCAAGGAGTTTACTGTTTTCTAGCCAATGATTTTCTAAAGTGCATGTGTCCCATGACAGACAGACAGACCCCAAAAGTGGAAAGGAAAAATTCAGGGTTCAGGAATGAGTAAGGGAAGCTCAGAGAAGAGAATGCATTGAAGCTATGCTATTAAGAAACTACAAGCCAGGGAGTTGAGAGCCATTTATAGAAATATAAGTCTGTCACATAGATGACCTATGCCACTGACAGCTCCCAGTGGAAACAATGAGCCGCACACACAGCCACTTCCAAGGACAATGAAACCAAGGAGCAGACAGGCATGGTAAGGATCCCCAGAAATTAGATGGGCATATTCAGTAGCAGCATTTAGTAGATGTTACTACAGATGTTGATTCTGATCTACTACCTCTGGCCCACAACTGCAGAGTGAGAGAGTCCATGGCCATAACCCCTTACTACTGAAACATGCTCTCTGCATGGCCCAAGCTGTCTTATGCCCCCCTTTACATTACAAGAATTCTGCCAGAGTTGTCACCTGTTAGTGTATATCAGGGGTTGGCAGCCCCCGGCACACATGCCGAGCATGGCACGTGAGGCCATTTTGCTCAGCACGCCATGGCCAGACCCAGCTCTGGGTAGCTGCTGCCAGCAACAGAGACCGGGCTGCTCCCAGCAGGGCTTGTAGTGTCCCAGCTGCCTGCTGGAAGCAGCCCGGGCGCCCGGCTGGCAGCAGCTACCCAGAGCCAAGGCTGGCTGCAGCCAGGAGGCTGCAAACAGCTGTGCTGGGCTCTGGAGCCCTGGCATCAGCTCTGTACCGGCACATGCATGCACACCTCAGAGCAGGCAGTGGGCGAGGAGCCTGAGGCAGCACAACCCTGGTCTCTCCCCTGGTCCCGGCACACAGCTGGTGATTCGGCTCAAGAGCCTGGCGCAGCTGTTTGTACCCAGCCTGGGCTCTGGGCAGCTGCAGCAAGCAGCGGGCAGGCTGCAAACAGCTGTGCCGGACTCCACAGCTCCAGCATCAGCTCCATGCTGGCGAAAACTGAGCACGCACCTCAGAGCAGACAGCAGGTCAGCGTAGCCCACCCCAAGGTGCGCACACAGTTGCCGCCAGCATGGAGCCCGGCACAGCTGTTTGTAGCCTGCCCACTGCTTGCTGCAAATGCCCAGAGCCCAGGCTGGCTACAAACAGCTGCACCAGGCTCCAGAGCCGAGTCACCAGCTCTGTGCTGGGAGCAGGGGAAAGACTGGGGTTGCACTGCCTCAGGTCCCTTCCCCACTGCCCGCTCCAAGGCGCATGTGTACACACCGGTACAGAGCTGACAGTAGGGCTCTGGAGCCTGGCACAGCTGTTTGCAGCCTGCCAGCTGCAGCCGACCCAGGCTCTGAGTAGCTGCTGCCAGCCGAGAGCCTGGGCTGCTCTCAGCAGGCATCTGGGACAATGCAAGCCCTGCTGGGAGCAGCCTGTACTCCAGCAGCTACCCAGAGCCAGGGTAGCTGCTGACAGCCACACAGCCCGGGCTGGGGGGCAGAGGCTTTGGGTGGGGGGCAGGGGCAGCAGGGCTGGTGGGCAGGGGCTTTGGGTGGGGGCAAGGGGCACAAGCAGGGCATCCTGCCATGTACCCCATGCCCTCATTTTGTTTTTCTGGCATGCCAGCACTTCGGCACCTTCCAAGGTAGGCATTGTGGGGGGTTTTCAGCACTCTGGCCAAAAAATGTTGCCTACCTCTGGTGTATATAGTACTAAGATGATGCTCCCTGAACTCTCTCTCTGGCCTTGTGCACTCATACTGGGAAACTATAATTTTCATTTTATTATTTCTATTTAGTGCAGGGCTCTCCAACTGGCACACCCACATGCCATTCCCCATACTGCTCTGACTGCAGAAGCACCAGGGCATGGCGAGACACCAGCTGATAGGGCTGCACGAGGCTTCGGACAGAGCTCCAGACTCCCTCTGCCTCTGCCTTTCCCTTCCTACCCCAACCCCACACAGCAGGGGAGCATGCAGCCTGCAGCCCTGAGGGCCCATAGTCCCCACTACAGCAGCCTATGGGTCACGTGGCCTTGGCTGGTTAGAAATTAGACAGCCCCATTATAGTATATCCTTCAACCCTTAAGGTATGTGCAGATGTTACGTTTAGATTAACATCTAGATTTAGGTTGATCTGAGTGCTGATCTGTGCAGGTGTTCAGGGATGTTAAACTGAAGAGGCAAAAAATGCCCGGCCTGATCTAAATTAGTTTATCTGAGATGAATTTAGTTAGACTGGGAATGGGTTAGATCTACCAAATGTACACATGCTCGAAGGAAGAGCACAATTCCAGGGCTGCACTATCTCCCCCAACCCTGACTGAGCTATTTTTAGCACCCGACCTCCCCACCCCCCAGATGGACAACCTTTCCCCACCCCACAGACCCAACAACCCCCCAACAGACCCGTCAGGTACCTCTGATCCCACCAACCCTCTCCCCAGAACTGCCAACCCCCACAAGGACCTGCTAACCTCCCCAACTTCTCATCTGCCCCTTCCCCCACTCTGAGTTACTTAGAAAGGGTTCCCAGCACCACTCCTGGCACCAGCAAATGTGTACACAAGCCACTCCTGATCAATGATCACACAGTCTAAAATAAGACACATGATTGTAGATTGGGTGCAGAAAATGTTTGCATGTACCTTGATTTTTAGGCACTATTTTTACAGTGTAACAAATACCTGAAGGCACTGTACAATACATACTCATTTCATCATAGAATCTGCATCTTACTCTTTTATGAAGTGAAAGACATTTATATTTTATGCAGGATTTTTAAAATTGAGTAAAAGCCAATGGCTTTTCAATGCTCCTACAAAAAAGGAGCTCTGCATCTTTAAAATTTTGCTGTATTTTCTCTCCCTCTTCCTGCTCTCACTGCAGGCCGTGTAGGCTCTGCAGCAGCTGGCTCATCCTATCAATAAGGTTCAGTTAGCCAAGGTGGAGGATGGGAGTGGAATGGAACTGTCCCAGCTCCTCAATGAGATCAGGGCAAACTATGAAACGCTCCTCACCAGAAATCAGATAGACACCGTCCTCTCAACAAGCACCCAGGTAATGATTTCATACAGACAGACACCTTCCAGAATAAGGAGACAGTCCATGTCTACCCAATTCCTGCCTCAGCCTCTATGAGGTACAGTATTTCCTTTTCAATGCAGCATATTATTGGGGAAGGGATATAGATTTTACTGCAGTATGGCTAGAATGAAAGCTTAGAAATAATGTGATCCTTAAGTTATAATATTCACATTAATAGAATGCTGTGTAATGCCTTTGGATGTTTGTCTGTAACTACAAGCCAGTGATATTGTTGTGCTTAGAAAATAAAAACATGATGACATATGCAATAACATGGTACCCTCTATCCTCATTTAGAGTTATCCCTCAGGAGGCAACATCTTGAATACCATTTAGGGATGATATAAAGAAGCGGTATATAAACAGTCTTTACAATTTGTATCACCTATGTTGTGGAAAGCTTTACCTTCTCAGGCCATTTTATATATTATTCCCAGTAAAACCATGCCATATTTTTTTCTGCAGTGCTTATATCACTGGTTTTCTGTATCACTCTTTTAAATGTTATTTAAATTACACACAGAGTATCTCTACAACACCACAAGATGTTGAAATAATATAACAAAGCCAATTACAATCCTCAAATGCCAAGGAATTCAGGCAGAAACTTGGTTATTTTATCACATTGTTGTACTCTGATATTGCAAAATTTCTGAACAGTGAGAGATTTATCTGCCATGGTCCAGGTTACCCAGTATACTCTGGCTGCTTTGCACCACTCTGACACAAAGAAGCCATAAACCCAGTTTAACTAATCACTTAAGCCAAATTCATGTCTGCTTCACATTACTAAAGGAACACAATAAAGCCAAATTGTATTTATGCTGTAGTACACACAAGGGCAGGCAAACAGCGTTCAGTCTCTATTAGGAATTAGCTAAACTTGACTTTTTCACTTTAAGTGATAACATTACAATACATTAATACCATATGACATAATACTTAATAGTAAAGCAGTAAAGTGTGCATTGGATATACACAGTAAAGTGTTGTGATGTCGTCACTGCTTACACGCAAAACACCAAATTATGAAAAGAGCCATAATTTTCTGTTATCATAATTAAGCACTATGTAAGTATTATTTATAATTTTAATGCAAAGAAGCAACTGACTTAACAAAACAGTGTTGATGTCTGGCCTCTGCTTAATTCAAACAGTGCATCCCACAAATACAGCTACTATCCAGATACTTCACAATCTAATTTATTTAACAAATTTAACAGTGATCCTTCTCTATTAAGACTGTTCTTTGGACCCAAATCTTCATTAAGAAACAAAGGACCTAAATTAGACTTGACATAGCTACTGCAACGCCACTTCCTTTGGTGAAGCTAAAGCCACTTACTCCTGGGCTGAACTGGGGTTAAACACAGTTGGTATCTCTGTAGTGAAACAACTTTACAACAGAGTCTTATAAAGTTTGAGGTAAAAGTGTTCTATATATTTGGTACTGATTGTCTAATAGTTTAGCCTTACCCTCCCTAGCCTTTATCTTTCTGTGCCTGACATAAAACAAATCCCAGAATTTTTTATAAAATACTTGGATTACTTCATTATTTTTCAAGTATATGGTTGCTCAGTCCCTGCCAATGTATCTTGGCCCAGTACTGTTAATCAACCTGATATTTGTTCAAATACATCCATATTTTGTCTGAGAGAATTTATGTTTAAAAGACTAAACTAGAGAGACATTTTAGTAAACTGCACAGAGCTAACTAAAGATTAAGGCAATTCATTCCTAGCAGAGTTTGCAATTTAAAAGGTTTCTCAGAGATTACAATATTCAGTGTACACATGATTTCATTGCAACTAGAACAAATGTATTCAACGACCACAAATAATTAAGAGATGTATTTAATTACATATTTATTAACATAAATAATAGAATTAAATGCCATTATCCTATTTATATCTACTCTAGCTAGAAGAAGCTACAAATGAAAGAATGGACAAAGATGAAGAAGATTTAAAGGCAGCCAGAGCAGAGCTCAGTGAAGCCAGGCGTCAGTGGCATCATATGCAAATTGAAATTGAATCTCTCCAAGCTGTGGTAAGCATGGCCAAGAAATGGTATTATCAAACTCCAGAAAATGTAATCTGTTTCTTCTTCCAACATGCAATATCCCACTGTCCACAACAATCACATCCAATTTGCAATGAAAAGATAGCAAGTACAGAAATATACAGACTCTTCCCACTGATTGTTAATCACCTGGAAATTTCCCAGCCACTTATTCATGATAAGGAATATCAAATATTTTGATCCAGAATCTTTTATTGTATACACAAACTATATACATACATGTAGATATAGGTATAGGTATACACACACACATTACTACTACTACTTTAGCTTTTTATTCCTGCCAAGCAATTATGTACATTTTTCAAGAATTGTTCCACAGTATCCCCATATCAAGTTCTTAACTAGTAACCTCTCTCATGTGTCCATTTAAATCATGCTTTACTTTGATCCTTTGAACCTATGCCCCAGGTAAGCAAGAATTTTATAATTTTAATGGTGCTTTTGCTGAATTGGAGTTTATATTCTGTAATGATGGTGAAACAAGTTTTGTCCATCTACACTACAGCTTTGTTTACCCTGAGGAATATTTTAAAAAGAAAAAAATCTTTTGCTACTACTATCACCATTTAATTTACTTCGCTAGGAGTTCTACTACAGATTAGTCTCCAGAAAGTTTCCAGTATTACAATGGGGAAAAAGCATGAGAAGTTGACAGATCTTGTGTATGTCACAACTGTCATGTGTGCAGCTGAACGATTATTGGCAGTAGTAGAATTTTTTCTTCAAATTCACTAGTGAAGACAAGACCTATGAATGACACCATTTTTAAAATGCCTTTTGGGGAGACCCACTACTTGACAAAAGACGTCTACAATTAATCAAGTTCCCTGGTGTAGACAGGGGTTAAAAATATAAACAACAGTGATTTATAACATGACGATAGTGACTTCACAACTTGGTGAATTCCTTTTTGGATACCTGGATAGATTTGCTAATAAAAAATGAATTCATTTCATGGTATAATAGAAGGCCATCAAGGTTTATCTGCTAGCTTCTATTTGAGATTATATAAATCTTATTGAAAAGTTAAAAAAAAACCCACAAAACAAAACACCATTTTAAATTCTTATAGAAGAGGTTACCTTAAAACTTGGGTTTTTACTATTGTTGCTAAGGATTATTTTAAAAAAACAGATTTAACAATGTGTTTTCTGTTTTGTGAATGAACACTATGTGAAACTGAACGTTTTAGGCGACTTTTTGGACCTTTAATATTGGTTTGACTTAACAGGAAAAGGCTTTGGAAAATTCATTGCTTGCCACAGAGCACCATTACCATATGCAACTGCAGAGTTTAGAAGCTGAAATTGAAGGCTTAGAAAAAGAGCTACAGGAAGTGAGAAAAGGTATTGAGAAACAGCTTCAAGAGCATGAAATTCTACTGAATACAAGGATGAGGCTGGAGCAGGAGATAGCAACATATCGCAGGCTGCTAGAAAGAGAGGAGAACAGGTACTGCCTAACTGGATAAACAGTATTTGCTTTTATTTTATACTTTAGAACTTTTTTGTAGTAATTTTCAGAGTTGTATGAATATAAACATCACACCACCAAAAATATTAGATATGGGTTAAGCAGAAGCTCCTTAAAGAAGGATCTTTTTATCTTGTACAATTAATCTGTAAAAAAACAAGATAATAAATGATTACATGCATAGTTTTCCTACCATTAAAATAAACATTTCTGGAAAATCTGTGATACTCATCTTCCTGATTTTTAAAGTTTATGTTTAGGCTTTTTATGGGATTGGTTTGTTTTTTTTAAAAGATCAAGTTTTAAAACACCTCTCCACAATCACAACAACAGTGAAACATATTCAAGTCCATATACATGTTTTGCTATACAATGTTCACTTTGGTACAATTTTAACTTAATTACTCACAATGGTACTAATTCATCACACTTGGGTTTGATTTCATTGAATTGAACCAGCAATTTGTGGTAAGGTATTCTAATCTAAACGATCAATTAAAACCTTCGGAAACACTTTTTTGTTCTAATAATTTAATCCATGTTTAATTTTAAGCATTTTTAAAAAGAGGAACCCCCACCCCCCAAACATTATAATCAACTCACACTATTAGTTTTAATACTTAGAATCACAGAATCATAAAAAAATAGGGTTGGTAGGGTTGGTACGGAACATGGGCTGACAATGCAAGGACATGGTCAGTAGGGCTAACCGTACCTTGTTGTTCATCCACAGATGCATCACAAGCAGGGCCTAGGAGGTGATCCTCCCCCTCTATGCGACACTGGTCAGGCTGCAGCTGGAGTACTGCGTCCATTTCTGGGTGCTGCACTTCAGGAAGGATGTGGACAGCATTGAGAGAATACAAAGGAGGGCCACTCGCATGATCCAGGGACAGCAGGGCAGACCCTCCGAGGAGAGGCTACGGGACCTTAACCTGTT